TTGGACATTCATTGCTAGAAACCAAGCAAAAAGTTTGGTATACATTTCCTATGATGTAGTTGAGGTTTTTCACATATTGGTATTTTCCCCCTTGCTTTCCTGAGAATTTCATCATTTATCCGAGATTGCTTCCCTTCTTGTTTGCAACAAGCTGACTGTATTGGGTTTGCATGGCAAGGTTTCTGTAGTGGGGGAGATGCAGGGGTGGCTTCTGTGTGAAGCTGCTGGAAGCTTCCCCCATGTCTGACAGAGCCAATGAAGCTGGCTCCAACATGGACCCACTGCCGGCCAAGGCTGAGCCCGTCAGTGACGGTGGTAGCACCTCTGCGATAACATAGTTAAGAACGGGCAAAAATCGTGCATGATTGCAGCAGAAGACAGGAGTGAGAATATGTGAGTGAAACAACTCTGCAGACACCAAGATCAATGAAGAAGGAGGGGCAGGAGGTGCTCCAGGCACCTGAGCAGAGATTCCCCAGCAGCCTGTGGTGAAGACCATGGTGAGGCAGGTTGTCCCCCTGCAGCCCATGGACATCCACAGTAGAGCAGATCTCCATCTGCAGCCTGTGGAGGACTTTACACTGGATCAGGTGGATGCCCCGAAAGGAAGCTGTGACCTTGTGGTAAGACCATGCTGGAGCAGGCTCCTGACAGGACCTGTGGACCCGTGGAGAGAGGAGCCCATGCTGGAGCAGGTTTGCTGGCAGAACTTGCGACCTCGTGTGGGACCCACACTGGAGCAGTCTGCTCCTGAAGGAGTGCAGCCCATGGAAGGGATCCACGCTGGAGCAGTTCATGAAGAACTGCAGCCCTGTGGGTAGGACTCACGTGGGAGAAGTTCATGGAGGACTGTCTGCTGTGGGAGGGACCCCACTCTGGAGCAGGGGAAGAGTGTGAGGAGTCCTCCCCCCGAGGAGGAAGGAGCAGCAGAGACAACATGTGATGAACTGACCGCAACCCCCATTCCCTGTGCCCCTGTGCTGCTGGTGGGGAGGAGGTAGAGAAATTGGGAGTAAAGTTAAGCCCAGGAAGAAGGGAGGGGTGGGGGGGAAGGTGTTTTTAAGATTTTGTTTATTTCTCATTATCATACTCCAATTTGATTGGTGATAAATTAAACTAATTTCCCCAGGCTGAGTGTGTTTTGCCTATGATGGTAATTGGTGAGTGATCTCTCCCTGTCTTTATGTCGACCCATGAGCCTTTCGTTATATTTTCTTTCCACTGTCCAGCTGAGGAGGGGAGTGAAAGAGTGGCTTTGGTGGACAGCTGGCATCCAGTCAGGGTCAACCCCTTACAGTGACTTTATGTTTTATTCTCTGGAGACACTCCTATTTGCTAGATCAGAAGCAGCTATCTGCTCAAGAGGTTCCTGTCCTTCCCAGATGGAAGCGTTGCATGTTTCAACTCACCATGCATGTGTATGTGTGTGTGTAAACAGGACAGAGCTGTGCTGCGGTAGAGAAAAATTGTGTTAAAAGATTTAAACCAAATTTTGTTTAACCCAATATTGTTGGTCCCTTTTTTCTTCCAGACAGGTTTATCACAAATATGTCAATAGAATAAATCAAATGTACTGCTGTAATGGAGCTGTATAGGCAGACTTAGTCATGGTATACTCACCATTACTATGTTGGAAAGTCTCTCAAGCAGTGTTTCTGGCAAAGTAGTCCATGTTTTCTTTAGCTAGTCCGTAAATGTAATTGTAATAAGGTAACATTAGAGATAGTATTTTAAAAATAGCATTAATTAAAAAAATAAATTGCCAGGAAATCCTGATTTGACCTGTCATTTGGATGATTTTTAGGAACGTAGATCTCCTTGAATACTTTTCTGTGCTCATTCCCAGAAAAGATCCAGAATGTTATATACGGGAATGATTTTGTACTCGCACAGCTGTAACATTTCTCTTAATTTTGTGCATACTTTCTACAGTTTTATTGCTAGTTTTGCCTGAAAGGATAGTGGTTACCCAGGCTGTAAAATAGCAGTTTTACATTACTACTTTTGAACATCTTTGTTAATATGAATCCCATTGTAGAGCTAAATCCAAATCTGAATATTCAAAGAAAATACATTTAGTATGGTTTAGCTCGTTACTCCCCTTCCACTTAGTACTAGAAGTAGAGAGAATTTCAATATTAAACTCGGTGTTGTGTTTATGTTCTTAGGCTTTGCATTTGAAATTACCTGTTCTCTAAGGTAATACTTATTTTCTTTGCCCCTTGATTTGTTTTTTTTTTTTTTTTTTTTTTTTTTAGCTTTGCAGCTGATGTTGATGCTTCTGTGCTCTTTGGGAATAGTTTGATGGTTTGTAGGAGCAGATCCAAAGGAAGTATGCTTCCACAGTAAAAGAAGGAAAAGGAGACAGGATATGGATGTTAAACTGATCAGCAAGCCTTATGTCCTTCCTTCCTCCCTTCCTTCCTCCCTCCCTTCCTCCCTTCCTCCCTTCCTTCCTTCCTTCCTTCCTTCCTTCCTTCCTCCCTCCCTCCCTCCCTCCCTGCAGTAGGATGTCCTTTTTCACCTTGGATCCTCTCTGTGTAACTTTTTTAGTTTTTACTATTTAAAATAACATTTACTGTTGCTTACCCTCACTACCATCAGCAACACATTCTGGCAAAAAATGGGCAAGACTATTTAGACCTGCTTCTGACAGTCCTATAGGCTACAAAGGAAAAACAAAGATGAGGGTGAAGGGAGGAAAAGATAGATCATCTGGACAAAGTGATATAATATTCTGTTTGACTACTTTGGGTGTTATTATCCTGATTTCTTCTGTTCATGTTGTCTGCTGATTGTTTTACCTTATTTTCCTCTTCCTATATTTATGCTTTCTCTTCATTGCTTGCGTAGGTTATTTTTACTTCCTGTTTTATAAAGGACAAATAAGTTTAAGGTCACTTTGTAAAATCAGGGGAAGGACACAGTTTTTATTCTCATTAGATAGCTACCTGAGAATCAAACTCTAGATCCTTCATGCCACTGCAAAATCTATCTCAGGTGTATGTTGTTTGGTGATACGGGAAGTAATGAGAAGTGCATTAAAACCCAGAAGGCAAGTGAAAAGAGCATGACTGGGAAACAATGGGAAATAATACCCTTTGCATCGCTTCACCCCTGAGAAAATGTTATTTAAAAGTCCATTCAAGTTTTAGGGGTTGACTTACCTTTTGTATACCCAGAAGTTGACAGTGGTGGAAGTCAATAGGCGTTCATGTATACTGATATACAGAAGAGAGACTCAAAATTGCTTTAGAAGTCCAGAGGGCAGGAGAAAATTATTTCAGCTTGGGATAGAAAGAGGGGTAAAAGCAGTGAAATAAATAGACAAGGCAGACTCCTTGCTCAGTTTTTAAAGAAGATGGGTGGCTGTTCGGTGGAGTTGTGTAAAATACGTTTTTGTTCTGCAAAGGTGGTAACTGTTGGGGTCTTGCATGTTATGTAGGCTATGAGATATCAGGAGCCACAACTGACTCAGGAGGAAAAGGTAAAAAAGCCTGAGGGGAGAAAAGTAATGGGACCATGGTTCTGTGAGGAGGAGGAAATGACAGTGTAGTCAAGTCTTTGGCATCTGGATGGAAAGTGTCAGCCCCCATGCTAAGCTTGTCATATACACCTTAATGACACATGATAAAACAAAATATCAAGATGACATTGCACTGAGTTATTGGCATCTTTCTCTGGCTTTCCTGTGGAGTCTGCTGCCGTGTTTTGTCTTCTAGGAAGGCTCCTCACAGATGGTAAGGTGCTTTTTTGTGCCTAGAATTCCATTTCCCTCCCTGCTTCAGCCCATGTTTGTCAATTCTTGCTGAGAGGATCTGGTCCTGCTCTATAGGGACAGGACAACAGCAACACCCAGGCGGAGGGATACTGTTGTCCTTCACAATGTCATTATTGCTAGCTCTCATGATTTGACTGCAAGATGTGTGATTTTGTTTTAATTACTACCTCACTTATTGGAGTCAGTGATTCCATGAGAATCTCAGCTTTCACTTAAAAATAAATCTCCCGCATTTGTAGGTGTTGAGAAAGAGTTTGAAAATGTGGTAATGTGGTGTGAATTATATCCTAGAGGCTTAAAGGCTAGGAAACAAAGCAGCAAATTAAAAAAAACCCACCTTTATTACTGTTTATCATCTGAGGTTGCTAAAAATAGTCGGGGGTTTTTGTGGCTGCTTTATGATTTTCAGCTATTCAGATTGATAATACTACAGATCAAAAATCACTTCCTCACTTCTAAGAGTTTTAATTAAAATTTCCACATATATATCTCTGAAGATTTTAAGCAGCCACTTGAGGACATGTAAAGAGAAACCCCATAATTTTTATATGAATGTTGAGCATTGTTGGGTAGATCTTTAATTTATACATAAATGTTATTGAAAGGTACAGTCATCAATAAGGAGAGTCAGGGCAGTGCCTCCTCTGTTTTTTACCAACTACTATGTACATAGACTCCAAACACAGTAAAATTGGAAAACTGTTGGTAACAGGAAAGGATTTTGTCCGTATTATGAACTGTGATGTTTGTTCCAAGGCAAAATTCTCTTTTTTTCTTAAATCTTTAAGGGATTCAGGACTAAGTCGTATCAAACAATAGTGTGCTCATCCAAGGAGAACTGAGTACATTTAATCATCCTCACTGGTTGTCTCAGCACAGAGTGTGCTGATTACAGATAATGCTACCTTCAAAAGCACACTGTTAGCAAGAGTGTTAGGTTTATTTTAGTTGATCAAATATGTGTGTTACTTCAGACTGAGATGGTCTTAGATGTCTAGCTGCTGTTTAGAAAGCAGAATTTCCAGGCATAGTTGCTCCTTGCTTTGACCTCTTGTGTTATTTTCTGGGGGGTGGGGAGGATTGCAAATTCTGTATTCCTCCTCTCCCTCCTTATAGTAATTCTACTAGACACTGAAAGTATTTGCAGATAAAAGCAAATTCTTTTCCTGTTCTTGTCCTATAACCCTCTAATTTATGTATTTATTTCTTTCAAATGCAGATTTTAGTAATGTGCCTGATGTCACATCCAGCTTGAAAAGGAGCAGTACTGATGGCACCCTGGACCAAGCGCCACACAGGGAGAAGACTGATCCACCTTTCAGGGTAAGAACACTGACATAACAATCCTAGAACCAAAACGTAGTGTTGTAGTGTTAACACTCTGCATTTTGTGGGGAAGAATTTAAGGTATGGCACTACTTTGGAAATTTTTTAATGCATATCAGCTGTACTTAATGTTTTACTATCTTGAGGCCACACTGTCAGGTCAGCATCTAGGGCACATCTGCTTCATCTACAAAAGCGGTGTGATGGGGGCAAATGGCAAACAAGTGGAAGCTTGTCAAATTCATCTTCCTGTGTTGTTTGAATGCAGTTCTGCAGAGAACAGTAAAGCTGTTACAGCTTTTGAACAGATTCAGTTTGGTTCATGTTTTCTTTTTGCTGATACTTCTAGGGCTTGTTGTTAAGATTGCAGTGACCATAGCAACACTTGCAAGACTTGCTTAACATCACTAGTTTTAGACTGGACTGCAGACTTGGAGAGGTACAGTGTTTGAGAGCCAGTGATTTGGAGAACTTTTATGTGTCTGCAGTTACTGTTCGACTTCAGCTGGAGTAATGGACACTTAGACCTTCTCTCAGTCAGGACTCTGGAGTCTGAGGCAGGGACCCCCAGAATTAGTATTCTCTTTCAAATGCATTGCTCCTTGAAGACACTGGGTTTTGGTCCATTTTGCTCTAAGTCAGTCAAATTGCAGCCCGTGTTCAACTCAGTTGCATACTGTTTTGAACCCCGCAACTGCTAGCATGGGTAGTGTTTTTATGTTGGTGGCCGTGATTTTACCAGGCATTGCCATTCTGACAACAAATGTTTTTGTTACTTCTGTTGATGAATTGGTTGTATCTCCAAGCAAATTTGTACTAATGCTTGTGTTACACTCTTGCATAACAGAAATCACAGCATCATAGAATGGTTTGTGTTGGAAGGGACCTCGAAGATCATCAAGTTCCAACCCCCCTGCCACGGGCAGGGACACCTTCCACCAGACCAGGTTGCTCCAAGCCCCATCCAACCTGGCCTTGAACCCTTCCAGGGAGGGGGCAGCCACAGCTGCTCTGGGCACCCTGTGCCAGTGCCTCACCACCCTCACAGTGAAGAATTTCTTCCTCACATCTCATCTAAATCTATCCTCTTTCAGTTTGTAACCATTAACCCTTGTCCTATCACTACACTCCCTGGCAGAGAGTCCCTCTCCATCTTTCCTGTAGGTCTCCTTTAAGTACTGGAAGGCCACTATAAAGTCTCCCCAAAGCCTTGTCTTCTCCAGGCTGAACAACCCCGACTCTCCCAGCCTGTCCTCATAAGGGAGGTGGTCCAGCCCCCTGATCATCTTTGTAGCCTTCTCTGGACCTGCTCAAGCAGGCCCATGTCTTTCTTATGTTGAGTGCAGCACTCCAGGTGAGGTTTCACGAGAGCAGAGCAGAGGGGGAGAATCACCTCCCTTGACTTGCTGGCTACACTTCTCTTGATGCAGACCAGGGTATAGTTGGCTTTCTGGTCTGCTAGCCTCATATTCAGTTTTTCATCCATCAATACCCCCAGGTCCTTCTCTGCAGGGCTGCTTTCAATCCACTCTTTCCCCAGCCTGTATTTGTGCTTGGGATTGCCCCGACCCATGTGCAAGACGTTGCACTTGGCCTTGTTGAACTTCATGAGGTTTGCACAGGGACATCTCTCAAGCTTGTCAAGGTCCCTCAGGATGGCATCCCTTCCGTCCAGTGTGACAGCTGCACCTCACAGCTCAGTGTTTTTGGCAAACTTGCTGTGAGTGCACCTGATCCCACTGTCCATGTCACTGACAAAGATTTTAAACAGTGCCTGTCCCAGTACTGACCCCTGAGGAATGCCACCTGTTAGCGGTCTCTACTTGGACATTGAGCCATTGACCGCAACTCTTTGCCTGTGACCATCCAGCCAATTCTTTATCCACTGAGTGGTCCATCTGTCATATCCATGTCTCTCTAATTTAGAGACAAGGATGTCATGTAGGACAGTGTCAAAACAGTGAAGTTAGAGTTTTTATGGTTCTGGAATATCTTACTGTCTTGTATCAGGTTGTATGACAAACTGTTAGAGAGAAGTCAGAACGTAAAAACTCGTAAGACCAGAACAGGGAAGATATATTGTGCCTCCGGCCATACCAACTGAGAGGAGCTGATTTTGTCTAAATTTTGGAATTACTTTGTAATCTACTTCAGTCTAATATAGGTGAGTTTATGCAGTTTCCTTAGAGAGTAAGGAGAAGCCCCGTGATTGTGGGTCTTCAGCCCATCTCCTGTTGCACAAGGGGTTCCCGCAGAGACAATCTATATCCTGTGTAACATATTGCTTATGCTCCCAAAAAGTCTTTGCAACCAGACAAGAGTAAACTGGATTTTTCTCCCCTGGGTCACATTGTTCCTTGGGAAGGGGTTATGTGGATTTCTCTACTGTCCTGTTTTATGGCTTCCGCAGTGTTGTAGGGGCAGGGATCTTTGCAGGAGCACAGCAGAGGTGACCCCAAGGCTTAGAGGCATCAGCGGCTGGCTGCACCAGCAGGCTGGTGCTTGGCTGAGTTCCCCTGTGTGCCTTGGGGTGCCCTGCTTACCTGGGGTACACACTGCCCGCCATGCACTATGCAAACAGACTGAGTTCCCATCCTGCTGGAGGGGAGGAGATCCTGGGGCATCAGCTTTAGCAGAAAAACAAAGCCAGCCATGATTGTCTGTGTCAAATATACCAGATGAGAGGAAAATTATGGAGGGTTCAGGAGGATTTAAATGCACAGAGAGCAATTCATGTACGCTAGTTGTTGTTCTGAACATTCTCAATTTGCTCCAATGCTCTAAATTACGTGCTGCAATTAAAGCTCAAAAAAGAGGGGAAAACAGACAGATCTCCTCCCTGCTTTCTCTCCAGCCTCAAATCTGTCACGTCTAGCAGTATTAATGGCTTGTGCACAATTTTCTGAAGTAACTGCCCATGCCATATTGCAGTTCACTTCTTGGCTTGGCATGCAGGTCTGCTAGTGTAATTTTAAAAATTATCTGAAGCTGTCCTAGTTTTGTAGGTACAAGAGGGGGGGAATGGCTTGGCAATCAGAGGCAGTCTGACTTGAACTGCAGCTGTAAACGAGTCTGACAGCTCTACAGTTTCTGTAAAGGGTTTGTAATTGATTGCTATCTTTCTGTTGGAGGGTGCCTATTAGTGTCAGAGCTTTTTGTCTGACCTTTTTGAATTCCCCAGTATATGTAGAATTAAAAAAAAAACAAACCTCACAGTAAATTTAGGTAGTCTATATTGTATGTGCTTTTGTGATAGGGTATAAAAGGAATTAAAATGATTTCTGTTTTTATAGCTGTGATTTGGGACTGCTCGCCGGATGAACAATAGCTATTGCTAATAAAAGCTAGTTTGAGGAAATTGTGTAGCCTCAAATAGCATAGCATCTGAATTTGGGTTTGTTTTTTCTTTCTCCTTTGCCTTCTGTTTCCTGCATGTGCTAACTTGACCCACGCCTGTGGGAGAGCAGTAGCGCAGACACCTCAGCATTAGGCGAAATCGCAGGAGTATGGGGGAGAGGAGATCTGTAAGCACAGCTCTGTGGAGAAGACGTTGGTGGCGCTAAGGTTCTGAGCACAGCCTGGAACAACAGGCAGTTTGGGATTATTTCAGGGGAGAGAAAGCTAGAGATGCTCACTTCCCAGTTAACAGCAACTGTAGATGTAATTACTTGGCTCTGAGGGAGCAGACTCCTTTGAAGTTTGGTTGACTTTTGTCCCGTAACATGTAAGTAAATAAAAGTTAGTCTTAAAGCTTTGGATTTCATTGTTGCATGTCTGATTTCTAGATTTTGTGTTTCTTATTTGGAGCATTTTTATTTATTTTTCACTATTATTTTCTTTATCACATACCAAGCTAAGGTTAAGCATCATCTTAACTGAAAGTACAGGAAGGCATTTCAGAAGTGCCTTGTAATCTCAAATGAATAAGTCTTTTGTTGTTTGTGTACTACATTCAAACATGTGTTCATTCATTCATTTTTTGTAGTCTGAGAAATGAATGAATTTAAAATAGTTGTATGTTTGTCTTTCATCTGAGAGCTAACAAATGAATTAGAAGGACAATAGAGGATTGTTTCATTCCAGAAACGGAACCTGTTCCTTAAGTTATAAAATATTATTAAAAACACATGGGCATCAAGAACCATCCATTCCAGATGCTCATTAGTTTTGTCATCTCTGTATTCTCCGGGATGCCCCATTTATACCTTTAATAACTTTAACTTTTTTTTCTATTTTATTTAACATGGATAGATGTTATACTTCTAACACATTCTGCTGCAGTACATTTTCAAACTGTGTGAAAATACTGTTTATGTGGCAGTGACATGTTGTCCTTGCAATTGTTGGTTCTGGAGTATGTAGGCGTACTGTTGACAGAAGAATAGAGGACCTCAGAAAATCTGGGAATTGAGTATGCCTGTCAGTGCAATTAGGTTTAGTTATGTTTAATCATTCTGAGAACTAATTGTCTGTGCTCCTGGTGCTCAATTAAATCCCAGTATGTTGACAGTTGCCAAGCATCAAGCTCTCTATACATCAAAGTAGCACAAAGCTTGAATAAGTAGAAAAACGCAACTTTTCCTTTAGCTACTTGTGATTTCTTATTGCAGACTGTATTGGTTAGAAATGTTTTCTCTAGCCCATGGTTTCTTTTAAGATGAAGTTTAGTAGTCTGTTACTAACTTGCTTATCTTTACTTTGAATTTTCAGTATATTAAAAATATCCTTTTATGAAAGACGAACGTAGCTAAAAGGTGAAATTTTTCAATATAAGTACCTACTATTACAAGTCTCTTGTAAGACTGCTGTGATCTGACTTTTGATTGCTGTGAATCTTTTGAGTATCATCAGAGATATGTATTTCCAAAATCATATTAAATTTTAACAGATGGAAAGAAGGAACTTCATATAAATGCATGTGTGAGAGGGGGGAGATGTATTTTCACTTTAAAAATTTTACAGATCATAAGAAAAAAACCTTAAACTGTGCAAATATTTCACATAACTTCATTATATTCTCAGCTGTATCTTGGAGTTCTTTAAGGATCTTGAGAAAACCAGTATAAATAGCTAGTGTGATGCTTTGTAATCACAGTAAAAATAGTTGATGAGTGCAGAATGGTTTTATGCTGGCATCTTCAAAAATTAACATTGCAGATGTAGAAACGGAAGCTACTATGATGAGAAACTTTGAATGCTAACAAGAATTTGCTTTCTAAAGAATGACCAACTGGTTTGATTTTGTAATGCTTTTGAAGTGGTGATATATTTCTTTAAAAAAATGAAGTAAAATTGATTCTGGGAATAAGTTGGGTATAGAGACTTAGAGAAATAGCCTTTGCTTTGCTGTTGACTCTTAAAATAGTCCACCTATTCTCAGAACAGCTTATTGATCATACATCAATATGTGTGTATGAGGACAAGTCTATCCCCATCACCTCTTAATAAAAAATAAATAAAAATTACTACACGCTGTGGAGGGAGAAAATTAACATTTTTTCTTAGGAATGCCATTCTCAATGCAGTGAACAGAAATTATGCTTAAAAATCCCTGAAGACCTTTCCCTATGATGGACTACTTTAGATTAGCCCAACTCACTCCTCTGCTCCTCTCTGACAACCGTGTTCACTTTCCCTCCATCTGGTGAGGAAACTAAGAACTTGTGACAAGTCTGGCCAGTAGAGCGCATGGCACCTTTAGGAAACATAAATCTGCATCTCCAGCAGGATGGAACATTTTCATCAAATGCTTTCAGATTTTTATAGGGATGAGGGCCCTACCTGAAATGTCCATATTTATAGATACAGGGGGGAAAAAAGAAAGTAGAAAAAATATGTATTTGTGCATTTCAGAAGTCTGCTTTTGGATGCTCAAGTTTCCTATGTAATGTCAAATCATCCTTCTGGTGCTTTTGAAGGTTGTGTATTCTATTTATTGTGATGCCAGTTTTGGACAGTTCTTCATTTGCCAGAGAGGAGCTGTTGCAAGTGCAGTGAGAAGCAGATGTTTCCATGAACTCTGCACATCTGGGGCCATGGTGAGAAATCTGGTTTTTGGACCATGGTGAGAAATCCCTGAACACGGTCCTGCTTCTTGTGCTTGAGGAGCCAACATGCGTATGTGCCTAACTTGGATAACTGTGGAGGTTTTTCTTCCAACCCATCTAAAGTGTATGTGCAGTTGAGCAGCTGGTTTGCATGTTGGATGCTGCCTGAGCGGTGTGAACGTGGAGACTGAGACTGGGTCAGAAAGCAAACCCATCTTCTGCATCATCCAGCTACCACAGCAAGCTTCCCAAAACCGTGCTTTCAGCAGATGCAAAATACATGTGTCACAATTTCAAAAAGGAAATCCTTGTGTTACCTATTATCTGATTTCACACAGCTATTTCTGTAATGAAAATCAGTAAGTGTTGTAACAAGTTTTCTGCATTTGTGGTTTTGGCCTCTTGTATATACACCATAGCCATGTACTGGAGAGATGGTTTTCCTAAGTTGAAGAAATTCATATTTTGTCTTCCAACTGTCTAAAACTGATTTTGAAACCCCTTCATTAGAAGTAGCATTAAAGCCATCAACTCCTTATGCAGATAGAGTAATTTAAGGGTAAAAATCTTGAAGTACAATATACATTCAGGTCTAGGTTCAAACCTGAATGAAAGAATGTGTATCCTGTTGCTAGTCTGTCTGAATGCTCAACAGTTAAAGAAAAAAGTATGGTTTGATATTGGGTAGAGGAAGGGAGCAACTGCAACCACTGCCATGGAATAGTAGAGGTGAAAGCAGTTAGTAATCATTACTGATATAGTCCAATCCCAGCAGAAAATTAGTATAATTGTTCAGGGTTTGTGAATTATTTGAATGGTATTTCACCTTCCAGAAGAAAGCATGTGGTTGCTAGAAATGATCTATTCCTCTGATTTGTTACATAGAAAACATTGCAGAAGCATGTAATCTGTAGCACATGTGCTATGGGATAGTTCAGGGCACCATTTTTCACAGCACACTCAACAGCCTTCTCTTGGCGCTGTCAGTAAATGTAATCCTATATATTCAGTTGTGGTGGTTCATTTATTTATTTTGATTTTGGTGATTCACTATCAGAGATGAGGTAGGGATCATCAGTCTGAATGTATATATGTAAGCAGTGGATGATTGTCTTTTAGTGGGTAATGTCAAGAAATGTTTATTCTTCCTCCCCAAAGATAAATGGCTTCCTAATATGACTTTTTTGGTGAGAAAGTTAAGGATTTACCAAAATACACTGACTTGGGAGAGAGATTGCAATGATATTGTGCATAAAACATAAAAGTTGACAAGCACAAATCATATTTTCATTAAATTTAGGATGATGTGGCAGTGTATGTATGTTAACATGTGTGTGGTAGATTTCAGAGCCGTATTTTTCTCTGTTTGGTGTAAGTGGCATCCTTTCTTGGGAGTCAGTTAGTGACCCCTACCCCCAAAACATCCCCAAAGAAACATTGACATTGAAATAAAACTGTGGGAAATCTAAAAGAAAAAAAAAAAAAAAAAAAAAAAACAAACCAAAAAACGTGGGTAGAGTATTTCTGTTAAACAAAGACTGTAAAGATCAAAAATCTTGGAAGGCAAATGCTGTTACTAATCAAGTAAGCATCAACTGTTGAGCTACGTTGAAAGAAAGCCAAGCAGAAATGACCAGAAGCTCAACAGAGGTCCCTCTGGGAAAAGTAAAATAAGAGGAAGAAAAAACTACTGGTATGCCCATATGGCCCCAAACCTATTTCTTGCGTGAAGGCAATTCCAGTTAAATGATGTTCGTGGTGATAGCTTCTCATTAGCTCTATTTTGCATTGCCCAGGCAGTTCCCACTTGCACAGCATGTCATTAATTGCAGGAGAGCTGCCTGCCTGAAGGTTTACTCAGCATCCATAGGACATTAAGGATCTCTCCTTTATTTTAATTGTGAGAACTTCTCTTTAGCAATTGATGAGGTCCAAAAGCTTGGGGAGTAGCCTGCAATTAACATACATTTTTTTTTTTTTCTATTTTTTTGTAGGAAGGGGATTAACAATGTAGTACTCTTGAAATCATGTATGCTCCTCTGCAATCCAAGTATCATTTCCTTGCAGATGTGAGATGCATTTAGGGAGTCTAAGAGCTGACATGGGAAAATAGCACCTTCTTCAGCAGCGGTTTTCCTTGATTCAGTTGTGCCTGGAGGGGACACTTGTGCATCAAAAGCGTGACAGAAGCCTGTGGAGAGCTCTGCTAATTATTGTGCTTCCCTTGCAGACAGCCCAGCCTGTGGTGAGCCCAACCAGAGTTGCTGGCTGCAGCAGTATGGAGCTGTGGCCGGACCCCTGCTGTCATCAGGTGCCTTTTGAGAAGGGTATCAGTGATATGAATGAAACTGTAGCCTGCTTGAAGTCTGTAAGAGTTTTGCTAATTAATTTAGGTTTCAGTATTTTATTCTGTCCCTCAGAGAAGGCACCAAAACTGATGGAATATGGTTTACAGAAGGCTTGCTGTAAACCAACCAGTGAGAGCTTGCTGCTGACCCCAGTCCTGTATTTCACTTTGTTGCATTGATCCTGCAGTTCTTTAAATGCAGCAGAGCCACCCTATGGATGGCCCAAAATTCAAATACAACAGTTGCCCATCTTGGCTAACAGAGTGAGCAGCCTTGAAATCATAAAGCGTGAAAGGTGCTGTAGCTGTATCTAGAGTGAACCTGTAACCAGACATGAGGTTAAGCTGTAGATGGAGACCTGCATGCATAGGTACTGGTAGGGACACACAGGAACAGCAAGAAAGAAGACTCTGCATTTCTTGCATGCAGAGATGTGAACTTGTGTTCCTCTGTTTTGTGCTATTACATTGAGTCACTGAGGTTTGGAGGGGGGAGGTGGTATTTATTGTTTTTCCTCTGACTGAAGGAAACATCCTCTCAAAAGTACTGTGACAGTTGTCAGTGTAAAATGTGCAGATGGTTTTGATTGGAAGAAAAAATTGTGTTGATGCTTGTAAATGAAAGACGACAGTGGGAGATGATTTACAGTGCAGCTTTTCTTATAGACTTCTGGGAAAAATCCATGAGGCTTACCTGCAGGTGAAAAGAGAAGCCTATGACAACAGTCCTGGTTCATTGCAACAGGTTATGGTGAGCAGTGTCTCTGGAGACGCTTGTGACTTCGCAGATGAAGGACAGGGAGCTGCCTGGGAGTCCACCACTGTGGGCCTCCAAAGGCAACCCTTGTCACCTGCAGTGCAGGATATTAGGGCAGCATTTCTGTTTGCAGTGAAAGGCAGAGATATCTAATCACACTTCTGACAGACCCAGGGAACTGAGTAACCTCTCTGCCAGCCATAGATTGCTGTTTTTTTTTAAGACTGAGATGCTGTTCAGTTACGGTGCTGACAATAACATACAGCTTTTTTCTTTGCGATGCAGAGGCATTTAAGCACAATTTTAGCATATGCTCTGAGGTATTTGATGTGCCTAGCAGTTACCCATAGGGCACAAAGTCACTTTAAAGTCACACAAAGTTGCAGTACAGCATTTTGGACAGATACTGCATTCTGGATGCCATCATACATTTCAATGAAGCTTTGATTCCTATTTTGTGCTGTCAAGTAGATGTAAGGCTGAAAGTAGACCTGAAATGCCAACACTGAAAAAACCTGCTACCTTCAGCAGATTGCAGAATCAGAGATAACAAAGAGATACCTGAAAGGAAGGAAGAGGGAGGAGAATTAAAGAAAGTAAGGGTTCAGTTGAGTCAGATATACAGGGAAGTTCCAACAGATTTTCATGTTTTGTTCCTTGTTGCCCATAGCACTGTGTGCCTCTGTCTCTACTTGTTAACATACTGTGGGCAGACATAGACCTTCAGTCAAATGGTGATTAATTGCTTCTGAGATAGCAGAATCTTTCTGTAGTGCCTAAGCAAAACCCTGCTGAAACCAGGGGAGAGGTTGGTATGGAGTTCAGAGGGTCTGTATTTGTTTTTACAGGGGGGTTATTGCATCTTTTAATATTTGAAGCGCAATATGCCTGCTAGAAACAAGAAAAGATAAGGGCTGCCCTCACTGCCTCCAAAGAAGTCACAGTGAAGAAATATATTGTGAAAGATTAATGCAACTGAAAAGATAATGTCTCAGTGGTTGCCATAGTTTCTAATTCAGCACTTAAGGAAAGTTTTTGCATTCAGCACAAAACACTTTGGGTAAGAAAGTTACAAACAATATTTAAGATGCTTGAAATTAAAAATTAAACAAGAATTAATTTTAAATATTTGGAATGTTAACTAGTTTTTTTAGCACTGGAATTAAAGCAAAAGTGTTCACTGTGGTCAATTATACTTTGAAAATACATTTTGAAGGCATTTAAAAACCATGTTATTAATATAACAAGTGCGATAGAAAAATATTTAGAAAAATCATCCACCCACACTTATAAAAAGTAAAAAAAGGAGTCCCTCTAGATCACTGCAGAGATCTGGAGACCAGATGAATTAAGCCTGAATTTACAATGCTTGGAGACCACTAACATCACAGAACTCCTCTTAGTCCAGAATATATATATAAGTACATATTGTATATTAGTATATATCTGTGTATGTATATATGTATGTATCTAACTATCATGCATCATACATACTCATCTCAAAAATACATGTTATGTATACAAATTATGCTTCTGCTTCACCAGTGGTCCATACTGATTTTACAAAGTAGCCCACGAGTGTTCAGAATTGTTCCAGAGGCAAGCTGCTGTTTTCTTTCATTCAAAGTATATACCCACAGAGCAAAAGTAACCTTTTACTTTCATGCATTAAGGGCAAAAGCAGGATGGGAAAACAAACTCGATGCAGATAAGTGCACCTAGACATATCAGGACAATAGAGGGAAGCCTGGTGCCACTAAAATGGAAAGATGAAAAACAGATGTCTGTAAAGGGAATGTGTGTTACTCAAAGCACACAGGAACAAACAACAAGGCTATGTCATTTTTCCAGTCATCTTAAAAATATTTCAAGGTGATTTTACATGTAAATTTTACATAGAAGACATGTTCTTGAAAAGAGCTTGAGTGTTTGTTGTGTAGTTCTAGAGAAGAAGAAAGACTAAAGAAAATGCTTTAATTCATTTGGTTTATTTTAGTTTGTGTTTTTCACTTTTTCTGATTTATCTAAGTCCCTCAATAGGAGTCAGAAAGATTACTAAAATATAGTTGTTTTTTTTCTAATAAATACACATTTTTTAAAAAGCTGTTAATTGGTAACATCTTTTAGCTGACATATGGCTAGCTAATAACTCAGGCTTAATTAGCAAGTCTGGGGAAGAATAACTTCCTAATATGGAATTTAAAAGGCCTGTCATTGTTTTTCATCAAGATTGATGATACTGCTTGGACATGAAATTTAGCAGCCTTTTTTTTGACCGGTCCCAGCAGATAAACTGTGCTTTAACACGTATGTATTACAGAAAGAGAGCTTTAAATTGCATGACTCATGTTGATAGAAAATGAAGAAACAGTACCTTTCCAGAAAGTATAGTTATATTCTTAATAAATGTGGATCTGGTGACCCAACCTGTGTTATTTTTAAAATGTCATATGCAGTACTGTAAACCTTTAATTTTCAGACTAGTGATTTTTTTTTTTTTTTTTATTTCAGACTTGCTCTGTAGATCCCTAGGGTCTGTGGGCTAGTGCAGAGGCAACCACGCTACACAGTAGTCCATATAATTGGATTTTTAAACCAGGCTGTGTGTCCATTGAAAAATGAGATGCTAGGGAGCCAGCGAAAGCTCTCTCACTCCTTCAAGACCATTCCCTCAGTTTTCTGTTATATAGTTTTCTCACCCAGTGAATCAGATATCTGTCTCCAAAAGAATGTCCATCAGCTGATCAGGAGGTTCCTACCACTGTGCTGCATGCTGTGAGCCTTATCAGCAGCATGTTGTTTCAGGGCTCCAGCTTGGTTGTTCCTTTGATAGGCAGCTGCTCGGCAACTGAGCTGCATGGTTTGGCAAATGCTGAGCTGTCAAGTTGCGCTGATGATTTGGAAAGAGATGGGAGTAAGTTTAATTGCAGTAATTAAAGGAGAAGGCTGCATTATTCCCTTGTATGAAGGTGAATATCCTTGAAACCTCTGAAGCAACACACTCATAGCCAAGGATATAGATACCCAGGCTTGGTGTATCATTTGGGTTCAAGAAAAGAGTTTGCTAGAGGGCAATAGGCAGAGGGTGGCAAGGGCAGTGTTCAGTGAAGCCATATAGCTCAACTTCATTGCACTCCAACAGTGCTGAGATAGAGGGAACATAGGAGTTACTGTGTTTTATTACGCCACTGGTATAGTTCTCCTTGTATTAATTAGTTGCTTGTCAGTCTTGTAACTCTTCAGATCAGTGGTGTCATGTCCTATAATGTTTTATTTAAAGCTACATTGTTTTTAGAATAATCTATTTGTAGACCTGGTTGGTCTTGTGTAAATATATCAACATGGAGACTTACTTTCAAGCCTGAATTTATTACTGAGCACAGTTTAAATTTATTTTTATTGATGTAATTGTAACTAAAAAAGTTCAAACAAAGGACAAGCACAGTGATGTAAAGAAATCTTCCAGAGAGCTGCCTGTTTGTTTTTCATTTTATCGTCGTAAGAGTATTCGTATGCCACACCATTTAGCAGAGTGTAACCTTGACAGAGCATCAGTACCATTGATAATTCATGTTGACCTTCAGGGCAGTCAGCACCTCTAGATATTTTTAGGTATTTGGCTAATTTTCTCAAAGCACCTGATGTTTGTGCAGTAAATTTCACAGGCACAGAGGCAGGTACATTTCCGAGGAGATAAAACCCATCTTTCCTTGCCATAACTGCACTTTGTCCTGCATTCACTACATCAAGATATTTATAAAAACTCCTGATCTGGTACATTTTCCCTGCATTTGTAGTAATAAAGGGAGACATGGCAGGTCGGTTTGCGTTCTCGTATGCTGCTTAGCCCCGTTACGCTGGGATGTTGACAGCATCTCTGATTTTCGTTAATCAGCACAAAAGAGAAACTTGTGCAGCTGAGCTCAGAGAGAAGGTGTGTTCGTGGGGGATCGCAGCGTCCGTGGTTTCCTTCTGAGGGGCCTTTTCCTTTGGCAAAGTTTGAATTCACAAGCCACAATGCCCGCCTTCAGGAGGAGTAAAACCAGAGCTAAGAGTTTAGCGTTGGCTCGCAAAACCCAGCAGCAGGCAGCAGCAGCTTACAGCTCCCTGCACAGGATGTTTTCTGTGGTGAGTTCTGTGCAGTGTGGGTTAAGCTGGGGAGGGGGATGCTGCTTGATTTGGCTGAGGTAGGTGATGGGACAGCACA